CTGAAGTGGTTGGTTTGCACGGTCACTTGTCAGCGTGAGCATTGGGAGGCATTGGCATCGAAGGGCATTCTGCACACTGGGCAGGTCGTATTCCCGATCCCTACTTTCGAGACAGACCAATGCACGATGCATGGCTCGTGGAAGGTGTGTCCACAAGGAAGAACTGCAACGTGGCTGTTCTCGGAGAACTCGTCCAGACAGCATACACACGCCTTCGTGTCCTGCTGTGCGAAAGCCCAAGGGCACTGCTCAGGCGTTGCCTTCGCCGTGAACCAACTTACCTCAGACTGTTCGACGTCGCCTTTGCTGACAATGTGATGGACTTCGGGACATCTGGGATCGGTTGAGCCGAACTGGCACGCTGCCCAGATTCTGCTCACCTCACAGTCATCGGCTGCGGGTACCTCCTCCACAAGCCTTTCATCCGTGTCTTGCTTGCGTAAGAGATAGCAGAAGCATTGGAAGCATACCATGAGTTTGAAGATGATGCACGTGATAGCACAGACAAGCACAATCAGGACAGCGAGCTCCATGGCTGGTGCTGCGGTGCCTTTCCGGGGCAGGAGCAGAAAATCATGCTTGCGATGGGCACAAAACCGAATTCTTGGTGTGGGGTTCGGGGTTTTCGGGGAGAGAAGCCCTAGAGTCAGCCCACACGCCCGCCTATGCAGGAGCCACAGTCAAATAAACCTTACGTAAGGACTAGTACTTGGAGGTCCTTTTTGACTTAGTAAGTAGCGTTCGGAAGTTGGGTTGTGGGGGTTGCAGGTGATACTAAGTGGCCCTACTAAGACAAAGGCGCCCCCAAATTTTCTTCTCTCTCCGGCAACCAAAATAGGATTTTGGGTTTAAGGTTTATGGGGCTTCTGGGTATAGAGACCATCTTGTCTCCCAAAACTTCGGTCTTTTTCTCGGAGCAGGTTCTTAGTATCGGCAAAAGGTTTCTTGGCAAAGCTGCCAAGACCAAACATCCGCTGGGCTGGACCCTGCGGGCTGGGTAGGCCTAAGCTCGCCTGCGCCCCTTGAATGGAAGACAGAGGTCAGGACGCAAGCCTTAAACTCAAACCCTAAACCCTAAGCCCTAAACCCTCTCTTACTATCTATATTTAAACCCTAATGTGCTTCGTCGGCATGTGGTTTTTTTCTGGGCCCTAAACCCTGACACCCTTCGTCGGCATGTGGCTTTTTCTTGGGCCCGGAACCAGAATCTGAAAGATGAAGGGGTCATTTCTGCCATATACATTTTATTTGAAACTCAGCCGGAATCGGTCACTTTTTGCCGAATCCTGGGGTCCCCCCCACAGGGGCTCCCGTTTAGGGTCCTGGGGGCAGCGGCCCTAGACCCTGACGCCCTTCGTCGGCAAATGGTTTTTCCCCCCGCGGGGGCCCTAAACCCTGACGCCCTTTGTCGGCAAATGGTTTTTTACCCCCGAGGGGGCCCTAAACCCTGACGCCCTTTGTCGGCAAATGGTTTCTTACCCCCGAGGGGGCCTAAACCCTGACGCCCTTTGTCGGCAAATGGTTTTTCCCCCCACGGGGGCCCTAAACCCTGACGCCCTTCGTCGGCAAATGGTTTTTGTCCCCGGGAGGCCCCTAAACCCTGACGCCCTTCGTCGGCAAATGGTTTTTGTCCCCGGGGTCCCTAAACCCTGACGCCCTTCGTCGGCAAATGGTTTTTGTCCCCGGGAGGCCCCTAAACCCTGACGCCCTTCGTCGGCAAATGGTTTTTTCCCCCCGCGGGGCCCCTAAACCCTGACGCCCTTCGTCGGCAAAATTGATTTTTCCCCCCCCTAGGGTTTGAGGCATAGGGTTGAGAGTTTCGCTCACAGGGTTTAGGGTCTGCAGGGTTTGGGGCATAGGTTTAGGGCCCTTACGCTTTGGGGCATAGGGTTTAGGGCCCTAGGGTTTGGGGCGTAGGGCTCCCGAAAGGGGCTAGGGTTGAGGGCTTGAGTTTCGGGGTGGGCCTTACTTAGATTACATTTCGGGTTTTGGGTCCACTGGACTCTGAGCTTTAAGCCTACTGGGAATGTACTGTGTGAACTTTCAATTTTCTCAACGTTATGGGTTTCCTGGGTGGGTGGGGTTTTTGCCAACGCTTGACAAACTATGTGACTAGTGAATGCTTGGACTTGAGATGCTGAACCCTAAACCCTCAACCCACCCTAAACCCTAAGCCCTAAGCCCTAAGCCCTAAGCCCTAAGCCCTAAGCCCTAAGCCCTAAGCCCTAAGCCCTAAGCCCTAAGCCCTAAGCCCTAAGCCCTAAGCCCTAAGCCCTAAGCCCTAAACCCTAAACCCTAAACCCTAAACCCTAAGCCCAACCTAAGCCCTAAGCCCTACGCGCTTAGAACCCCGAAGTTGACCGCAGGAGCGGGCCGCAAGCATCGAAGTAAGGATGCCGTAGTGCAGCTTTGCCTGGCCTTCCCAGAAAGATGCACATACCCAAAGAGCTCCACTACCCCTTAAATCTAGGGTTTAGGGTTTAGGGTTTAGAGTTTGAGGGTGCACCTTAAATCTTACTAGGGATCCTCAACATCCCAAACCAGATCGCTTAAGGTCTATTCCTTAATAGGGATTATGGCACCCCCTGTCATAATCCCCATTTAGGGCTGTTAGCAGAAGGGGGAACATCCCAAACCCTAAACCCTAAACCCTAAACCCTAAACCCTAAACCCTAAACCCTAAAATCTAAACCCTAAACCTTAAACCCTGCCATTCCTTAAGGGGTGATGGACTCTCGGCTCTTGCAAGTGCAAGCTCGTGCAGCGTGCCTCAGGATCGAGGTCAACTGCCCAAAGTGGGAACGATTCGGGTTTGGGGTTGAGGGTCTAGGGTTTAGGGTTTAGGGTAATTCTGTCCCCAAAGATCAAGAAACCTTAGTAATTCTGTCCCCAAAGATCAAGAAACCTTAAGTCATTTATGAATTAATAAAACCCTTCCGAAATGTCCCCGAAGTGTTGAAGAATCATACAAGCTCGCGGCAATTCCGCGGGCAGCGAATTCCACAATCCATTTTGGGCGCGCGGCGCATGCCGAGTTGTGCTTTAAACCTTATCCCCTTTGATAATTGTAAAACGGTGCTCCCCCTTCTTGAAGAGGGAGAGCAGATTTAGAGTTTAGGGTTTAGGGTTTAGGGCTTAGGGTTTAGGGTTTAGGGTTTAGGGTTTAGGGTTTAGGGTTTAGGGTTTGGGTTGTCCTAAGGCACAACGCAGTATGGCAAAGCAGCCCAAAGACGTCCGCTGGGCATGCCCTTTGAACTTGTCCGCCCACACCACGTTGCAGAGATAACCCTAAACCCTAAACCCTAAACCCTAAATCGTAAGCCTTACACCCTTGGGATGTTCCCCCCTCATACTAACAGTCCTTAATAGGGATTCTACTTGGGGGGTACTCTAATCCCTATTAAGGACTGCTAAAAATGTGGGAGAGCATCCCAAACACCCTCGATCCCTAAACCCTAAACCCAAAAACCCTAAACCCTAAACCCTAAACCCTAAACCCTAAACCCTAAACCCTAAACCCTAAACCCTAAACCCCAGCCATGGCAGGACAAGTGCAGGACGCAAGTGAGGCCAGGATCCTGAACCGTCGCCTCACGTAGCTCAGCCTGCCTAGACCCACACAGCCCACATGCCCCTAAGTTAGGGAACATATATATAAAGCTTTTAGGGGGATTATTGCTTTTTTTATACTTTTCAAAAAAACGTAGTTATCAAGGTGCGTTGGGCTCCGTAGGTTGTTACCAGCAGGCTGCTATGAGCGCCGTCCGAAAATTGTCGCTGTCCGCAAACAAGCCTTATGCTTTGCTTTGCAATGTCTTCCCTAGGCCCTAGATCCTGCACATGCTTCGTAGCATTCACGGAGAAGCAACCCGGTGGACAGCGAGAGAAGCCTCAGCTTGAGCATTGGGAGGCATTGGCATCGAAGGGCATTCTGCACACTGGGCAGGTCGTATTCCCGACCCCTACTTTCGAGACGGACCAGCGCACGATACATGGCTCGTGAAAGGTGTGCCCACAAGGAAGAACTGCAACGTGGCTGTTCGCAGAGAACTCGTCGAGACAGCATACACACGCCTTCGTTTCCTGCTGTGCGAAAGCCCAAGGGCACTGCTCAGGCGTTGCCTTCGCCGTGAACCAACTTACCTCAAACTGCTCCACGTCGCCTTTGCTGACAATGCGATGGACTTCGGGACATCTGGGATCGGTTGAGCCGAACTGGCACGCTGCCCAGATTCTGCTCACCTCACAGTCATCTGCTGCTGGCGCCTCCTCCACAAGTCCTTCATCCGTGTCTTGCCTGCGGAAGAGATCGTAGCAGCATTGTAAGCATAGCACGAGTTGGAAGAGGAAGCACGTGAAAGCACAAACAAGCACGATCGGGACAACGAGATCCATGGCTGGTGCTGCGGTGCCTTTCCCGGCATGAGCAGAAAATCATGCTTGCAATGCGCACACAACCGAATGGTTGGTGTGTTTAGGGTTTAGGGTTTAGGGTTTCGGGTTTAGGGTTGAGGGTTGAGGGTTTACGGTTTAGGGTTTGGGGGGTTTCGGACTGTGGGGGTTAGGTTCGGAGCGCGCAGAGGCCCGCCTAAGCAGGAGCCACAGTCCAACAACCCGCAGCGCAGCAATATTCCTTATGGTAAAACCGCAGCAGTAGAGTCCCCATTGTTTGTAGAAATTCTCGTGCCTTCTACTATAATCCTTAGTAAGGACCCTGAACCCCAAACCGTAAAACCCGAAACTCTAAACCCTTGTTAGTATAAGGGGGAACACTCCAGCCCATTATCGTTGAAGAAATAACGTCCAATCCTAAGCACAAAGGGAGACGGCAAGGGAGACCCGACATGCTGCAAAACTAGGAGGTGCGGCTTAGGGTTTAGGGTTTAGGGTTTAGGGTTTAGGGTTTAGGGTTTAGGGTTTAGGGTTTAGGGTTGAGGGTTGAGGGTTGAGGGTTGAGGGTTTAGGGTTTAGGGTTTAGTTCTTCTGGCTTTCCTGCACACCTGCTTGCCCTCGCAGCGTCTCAGCTCGAACTCGTAGCTCATGTACTTCTGCTGCTCCTTGACCTAGACGGTTTGGAGTTTAGGGGCTCAGGGCTTACAGTTTCTGTGGTGTTGGCACCAACATGCAATCTTATCTTCCGCGCTCGAAAATAAGCAGCAACAACTACTTGTGTGCTTTACAGCTTCTTGGTGATCTCGACAGCGCTAAGATTGTCGCCTGTTGACTTGAATAATCTAAGATCCCGCCCTTGCCGACAAAGAGACCGGGATTCGTGTGGACCAGGGACCCAACCAGACAGAACGCATCAATTCGCGAAGGACGAGGTCAAGATTCCGCAATGGCCCTATAGGGTTTAGAGTTTAGGGTTTAGGGTTGGGTTTATGGGTTTAGGGCTTAGGGCTTCGGATGTAGGCTCTAGGACCCGAGAAAGTTCCTGAGACTCTCCCCAGCCCCCCTCACCTTGTCCTCGCCCTCGCCTGCGCCGGAGCTTCTGGGGCTTGGATGGTGAATTTAGGGTTTGGGTTTAGGGCTTCGGCGTTCTTATACTGGGCGGGTGTTGCTCCAGCGCGCGTTCGTGACATGAAACAGGCTGCTGCGCACGCAACGCGTGCTACGCTCTGAGGTTCGGCAAGAGCCATCATTGGGCCAGGAGCAGTTCCCCAAACCTTAAACCCACAACCCTGAAATTCCCCCAGCCATGGCATAAAAACCGTCAGTCCATGGGGCCACAGGGTGCCAACACGCATAACATATGCAATGAGGGGCGAAGTTACGATCTAGGGATTCTCTAAAGGGATAATATTGAACATTACTTCGGCTCCTCCACTATGATCTGCCACTAAACCCTAAACCCTAAACCCTAAACCCCAAACCCTAAACCCTAAACCCCAAACCCCAAACCCCAAACCCCAAACCCCAAACCCTAACTAACTGCTCACCCGGCCTATCAGGTTCAAAGAGAAGGACGCCGGCTGTCTCTGGAACGACTTGCTCAAAGACTGAGCGGCAGGTGACTTCGGGTTTAGGGCTTAGGGTTTAGGGTCTCAGGGCTTAGGCTCTGGGATTTTGGGTTGTCTTGGAGTCGCAGGCTATGGTTGACTAGCGCACAGGATCACTTCATGGCAGTGGGTTGTGGTTGTCAAAACCCCAAACCCGGCAGAGAGTTGGCAGAGATTCAACCAATCCAGGGTCTCGCACCGAAACTCACATGTTCACGCCACTCCCGCTGATACCTATTCTTCGTGGGTCGTACGTAGGGTTCAGGGTCAGGGGGTTTTGGGCTTGGGGGGGGAAGGCCTGCAGCGTTTAGGAAGGGCCCTTTGGAAGCCTGTTACCCTGGCTTAGGCTGAAGAAACCCCAAGCCGTGAACCCCATGAACCATTCCTGCCCTAAACCAAGAGGCTCCAATACTCCAACCATATATAAGGAACCCTATTGCAGTTCCTTAATTCAGGGGTACTGAAGTCTCCGGGAACTCTCAATCCTCAACCCTCACCTCTCGACATTAAGCTGTCGGCCCTTCAATAGAAACAATTTTGGTTCGTGGGTAGTTATAATTACGCTAGGCCCTAAACCTTAAACCTTGGGTTACAAGTTCCCTAAATAGGGTTAGAAGTATACGTAGCTCGCGTAGCTAAAACAACACGTAGGGCCTCCCCCGCCGTTATCGGCAGCTCCAAAAAAGGGCCTAAGTTTAGGGCCCTTTTAACCACCCCCTCTATAATACCCCCTTGAGGTTCCCACCTGAAATAACCTTGCTTAGGTTTAATTACCCCGAAATAGCCTTCATTTTGAGGGGAACCTACTTGGAGGTTCATGTTACTGTACTTATAACCCACTTATAAGCCCCTTAAGTGCGCTAATATGGCTATTCGTACAGTTATAAGTGGTTGGTCAGAGTTTAGGGTTTAGGGTTTAGGGTTTAGGGTTTAGGGTTTAGGGTTTAGGGTTTAGGGTTTTGAGTTTGGAGTTTAGGGTTTAGGTTTAGGGTTTAGGCTTTAGGCTTTGGGCTTTGGGCTTCGGGGTTGGAGTGAAGGGCTTCGGGCTCTAGGCTGAACACTTTGGGGCTTTTGGGGATTCGGGGGTCTCGGGGTTGGGGGTAACCCTAAACCCTATACCCTACACCCGAAACCCTGAACCCGAAACCCTAAACCCCAAACTGAGCCACACCCATGGGGCTCGGGCGTTAATCACAGTTTTTCTGCCCACCCTGCAGGCCAGGGTTGGAAGGGTTTAGGGTTTAGGGTTCAGGGTTCAGGGTTCAGGGTTTAGGGTTTAGGGTTTAGGGTTTAGGGTTTAGGGTTTAGGGTTTAGGGTTTAGGGTTTAGGGTTTCGGGTTTCGGGTTTCGGGTTTAGGGTTTAGGGTTTAGGGTTTAGGGTTTAGGGTTTAGGGCCAACTACACTGTGGTCACGATTGATGGTGGGAGGGCTTGGGACTTGGGGCCCTAAGCCCCTAGACTTACGGTTTTCCATTTTAGGGCTCAAGGGCTTCGGGTGGCGCCCTGCCACCCTGGTTTAGGGTTTGGGGTTTAGGGTGTAGGGTCTGCCCCACCTCTAAACTGTAGGTTAAGGGATGCCCGATTTGCCCCTATAGAGGGGACCCCTCATGCTTCTATGCTACATGTAAACCCCGATACAGCTCCTTGATACCCACAACATGGGTCCTATGTACTAAACCCTAAACCCTAAACACTAAACCCTAAACCCTAAACCTCTCTTTCTATATAATGACCTCAGTGGGCGGCAATTTTGCCTAACTCGTGGGCATTTGCCTGGTTCGTGGGCAAATTTTTGCCTGCTGGTTCGTGCCTCCTGGTTCGTAGGCAAAATTTGCATGCTTCGTGGGCAACCACTGCCGTTTTTGCCTCATTTGTGGGCGCCTCCTCCCCCCCCCACCCCAAGGCCCCTGCAAGCCTCGTTCGGGAAGTCCCGGGGAGGGCACCGGGACAACCTGTCCCGGGGGGGCGCCGGGACAGCCCATATTATATAAAGAAGCAGGCAAGCTGAGAGTTGACTTAGATTTCACCTCGACGCTGTAGCTTTTTGTTTTCTGATTAGAGCAATATACTTTGTGTTTTCTCAATGTTGTGGGATTCTCTGGGTGGGTGGGTGTTCTATCAGATTATGAGAGCCGTAAAATACTGCTAGATCCGGAGCTGCTGAACCCTAAACCCTAAACCCTAAACCCTAAACCCTGAGTGGAAGCCCCAACATGGCCAATAGTTCAGAGAATCCTTCATACGGCCTCTCAAGCCCCGAAGCCTAAACCCTAAAGCCCTTTGCAGGGCAGTTGAACGGCTGGGGTTTAGGGTTTAGGGTTTAGGGTTTAGTGTTTAGGGTTTAGGGTTTAGGGCTTAGGGTCTTTAGAACTCCCAGGGTGCCCTTTTAAGGGACCGTCCTTTTCCCCCTTACTAGGACACAGCAGTGCACTGCACGTTTCCTTCGCATGCAGCCCTTGGCCCAGCCTGAAAACCAAAATTGGCTTTCAGGGCTTAGGGTTTAAGGTTGTCAGGTTCAGTGTCCTTAGAGCTTAGGGTTTAAGATTGAGAGTTTCGGGATTCCGGGGTAGACCTTAGGAGGTAGGCCCCACTACTGTAAATAGTGGGAAATTCGCATGATGAGATCATGAGAAGAATAAATGAAGATGATTGCAAACATCAAAGAAAACAGTAGTATTGATACAGTAATACTAACAATGCTGATGCGTAATTCTACCTGGGTCTCATGCGTGAGATTCGCCTCTTGCTAAGCCCTAAACCCTAAACCCTCAACCCTAAACCCTAAAGCCTAAACCCTAAACCCTAAACCCTGAACCCTAAACCCTAAACCCTAAACCCTGAACCCTAAACCCTAAACCCTGAACCCTAACCCCTAAACCCTAAACCCTGAACCTTCAGGGATCTTGGGCTGCTGCTCCATGTGCGCCTGGGAAAGGGGATCTGGAAGTACTCGATGAGGTTCAGCGCGCCAGTGCCCGCAGGATCCTGCCTTAAGCAAGGCCAGGGCTGTGTTTTTTTTTTTTTGGGGGGGGGGGGGGTTTAGGGTTTAGGGTTTAGGGTTTAGGGATTCGGGTTTAGGGTTTAGGGTTTAGGGTTTAGGGGGTTTAGGGCTTAGGGCTTGAGAGGCTTAGAGCCCACCCCCCACCTCAAAGCAATGTGGACTGGAATCTACTTTTCTGGCGAAGCCGGGTTTGGGGTTTAGGATTTAGGGTTTAGGGTTTAGGGTTTGTGTTTAGGGTTTAGGGTTTAGGGTACGAGGATGTAGCTCGGGATTTAGGGTTTAGGGCTACTCTACAGCAGACCATTCGCTTGAGCCGCGAAGATTCTCAGCATGAGGTGCTGCTAGGAAGGCAGCTTGCGACTTGTGTCGGCAAAAATGGATAATGGAACAGTTCACCGGAGACCCCTAAAGCGCACCTAGTCTTACTGTTCGTCAGCCGACAAGGGAAGTAAGTACCCTTTAGTATGCCTACTGCGAACTAGTAAGTCTGCGTCCATCAAAGAGCCTTACCCGGTCCGGTCGACCATTCAGGTTTGAAACATTCATCTCCATGAACTTCCCAGAAACCATCAGCATTACGTTTAGTTATTTGGGAGGTTTCCGAAAATAAAAGAGCCCTGAGATAGACCCCAAAGAGTAGGATTCCCTTACAAATAAGGACCCCAATAAGGTACCCCTAAATTTCGGAAGCCCCCGTTTTGAGCTCTGAAAACGCAATGTATGTACAGCAGGCCAGCAACGGGGTGGTCATCAGCGGGATGTGAAGGACCTTCACTTCTGCTCCCTGGCGGCATGCTGGACAATGCAGTGCTGAACCCCTGAACCCTAAACCCCGATTTAGAAAGATCATCCGCCTGAACCCAATCAAATCCCGCGACCATGGGAGGGGGTATTGGGCATCCCCGTGCTTCTCATCCCAGTGCCCCTGCTTCAAGAACTCGTTTAGACTTCTCCCTGGTACTTCATTGGGTGGTTTAGGGTTTAGGGTTTAGGGTTTAGGGTTTAGGGTTTAGGGTTTAAGGCTTAGGGTTTAGGGTTTAGGGTTCGCACAGCTGACGATCCCTATAGCCCCGCTTATGACTATTCGGGAACCTCCCAGTAAGCCATAAGCCCGAGGATGAGAAAGTATTGCCTCATGGAAATGAGAAGGGAACTCTACCCTGAAAACAGAGGTAAAGGGTTTAGGGTTTAGGGTTCAGGGCATGGGGATTAGGGTTTAGGTACCTTTGAGTTCCTAGAAAGCCTTCCCGCCCTTTGCTCGCATGGGCTGGAAGGTCGGAGGTCAGGGTTTAAGAGTTTGTGGCATCTGCATGGGGTCCTTTGCTCTTGTTTTTTTTGGTGTTTACGGTTTAGCGTTTTAGGGTTTTAGGCTTTTAGGGTTTTAGGGTTTTTAGGGTGTAGGGTGTAGGGTGTAGGGTTTAGGGTGTAGGGGCTCAGGGTTTAGGATTTGTGCCCCTTCTTAAACCCAAATCCCCAAGACGCAGTAAGACTCATCGAAATAACGAAATATTGTAACAAAGCTTGACACTAGCCACAGGAACCATGGTAGTGAAAACGAAAATCAGAATCACAATAGAAACAGTAGCCTTAATCATGGAATAGCAACAATAATTGCAATAAACAAGGCCCCCTCCTCGGCCAGTCAATTCCAAGGACAAGGTTGTGCCTTGTCGGGGTCCCCCGCAAGCAGAAGCTCCTGCCAGTGTGCGGTTTAGGGTTTAGGGCTTTAGGGTTATCCCCTCAATACGGAATATTCACTAAGGCCCCTTATAACTTAGGGGAATTTGCACGCGTAAAGCACATTTACAAAGTCAGGAAACTTCCGCACTCAAGGATGAATGAAGTCTCTGGGACCCTGCAGAATGGGCATGCGACGCGACGGCTTGTCTGCCCCGCAACACGAAGGAGGGTTTAGGGTTTAGGGTTTGGGGTTTGGGGTTTGGGGTTTGGGGTTTGGGGTTTGGGGTTTAGGGTTTAGGGTTTAGGTTTCCGGGTTCAGGACTCCTGCTTGTCCAGCTGCCTTGGTACCCGAGAGGGTTGAAGATGACCAAATCTACTACTACGTGCTGTTGCATGAAAGGTTCCTTCCCTCCTCCTCCTCCCTTCCTCCTCCTTCCCTCTCCTTCCCTCTCCTTCCCTCTCCTTCCCTCTCCTTCCCTCTCCTTCCCTCTCCTTCCCTCTCCTTCCCTCTCCTTCCCTCTCCTTCCCTCTCCTTCCCTCTCCTTCCCTCTCCTTCCCTCTCCTTCCCTCTCCTTCCCTCTCCTTCCCCCTCCTTCCCTCTCCTTCCCTCTCCTTCCCTCTCCTTCCCTCTCCTTCCCTCTCCTTCCCTCTCCTTCCCTCTCCTTCCCTCTCCTTCCCTCTCCTTCCCTCTCCTTCCCTCTCCTTCCCTCTCCTTCCCTCTCCTTCCCTCTCCTTCCCCTCCCTCCCTCCCCTACCCTCCCCTCCCTCCCCTCCCTCCCTCCCTCCCCTCCCTCTCCCTCCCTTCTCCCCTCCCCCTCCCCCCTCTCCCCTCCCCTCTCCCTCCCCTCCCTCCCCTCTCCCCTCCCTCTCCCCTCCCCCCCCTCCTCCCCCTCCCTCCCCCTCCCCCTCCCCCTCCCCCCTCCCCCTCCCCCTCCCCTCCCCCTCCCCTCCCCCTCCCCTCCCCCTCACCCCTCCCCTCCCCCCCCCCTCCCTCCCCTCCCCCTCCCCTCCCTCCCCCTCCCTCCCCTCCCCCTCCCCCCTCCCCTCCCCCCTCCCCTCCCTCCCCTCCCTCCCTCCCTCCCTTCCCTCCCCTCCCTCCCCTCCCTCCTCCCCCTCCTCCCTCCTCCCTCCTCCCTCCTCCCTCCTCCCTCCTCCCTCCTCCTCCTCCCTCCCTCTCCCTCCCCCCTCCCCCCTCCCTCCCTCCTCCCCTCCCTCCCCTCCCTCCCCTCCCTCTCCCTCCCCTCCCCTCCCCCCCTCCCTCCCCTCCCTCCCCCCTCCCCTCCCTCCCCGCCTCCCTCCTCCCTCCTCCCTCCTCCTCCCCTCCTCCTCACCTCCCTCCTCCCTCCCTCCTCCCTCCTCCCTCTCCCTCACACCCTCCTGCATCCTCCTCCCGCCTCCTCACTACTTCGCAAGAGACACCCTAAAGTCCCCCAAAATTGCCGGTTCTTCGTCTTTGATGTGCCTCAGACTCGACGGTCGATGAATGCACTTGAGCGCCGGGTGTGGCGATTGGGAGATAGAAAGTTTCCTGGACCTTGCAACTTGACCCCAAGTCGCAACCCTAAACCCTAAACCCTAAACCCTACACCCTAAACCCTAAACCCTAAAGTCTGAGAACAGGCCAAAACACCAAAGCCCGAGCACCAGGTCCTTGGTCCTCGTCTCCGTGACTGGTGGCACAGAGAACTTCTGAAAGACTCTCCAGCCCTGGGAGTGGAGCTGCGGTTTAGCATTTAGGTTTGGGGTTTAGGGTTTAGGATTTAGGGTTTAGGGTTTAGGGTCTAGGGTCTAGGGTTTAGGGTTTAGGGTTTAGGGTTTAGGGTTTAGCGTTAAAACTCGAGGCCTAGGGTTTTGAAGTTTAGGGCAGGGTTTAGGGTCCAGGGTTTTCCAACTTTACGGCACGCAACCGCATGAGCATTTGCCTACTTCTCGCAGCTCGTAGACCAAGGAGCTCGTAGACCCAGGAACCCCAATACCCCTTAATGAAGGAATATTCCTCAAACCTGAGAAGGAACCCTAGCATATTTCAAGGTATATTCCTTAAACCATATAAGGAACCCTAGCATATTTTGAGGTATATTCCTTAACCATATAAGGAACCCTAGTATATCTTAAGGTATATTCCTTAAACCATATCAGCAACCAGTATAAGAAACCCTAGTATATTTTAAGGTATATTCCTTAATTACGGGGTATTGGGGTCCCAGGGAACATCATACCTGGCAGAAATACATGTGTGGACTGGCTGAGTACCATGGAACCCTGGCCCAAGTAGACTTCCGAAGGCGCTGCTTTAGGGCTCAAGATGTCTAACCCTAAACCCTAAACCCTAAACCCTAAACCCTAAACCCTAAACCCTAAACCCTAAACCCTAAACCCTAAACCCTAAACCCTAAACCCTAAACCCTAAACCCTAAACCCTAAACCCTAAACCCTAACCCTAAACCCTCAACCCTTCCCTAAACCCTAAACCCTAGTCCTAAACCCTGGACTATGGGGTTTAGGTGTGTAGAGAGCTGCCGGAGGTCGAAGCACCGCCGGTCAGTGTCAGCACAAGCAAGGAGACCATCAATAAGATCTTCTTGAGGCCCAGGGTTTGGGTTTAGGGTTTAGGGTTTAGGGTTTAGGGTTTAGGGTTTAGGGCTTAGGGCTTAGGGTTTAGGGTTTAGGGTTTAGGGTTTAGGGTTTAGGGTTTAGGGTTTAGGGTTTAGGGTTTAGGGTTTAGGGTTTAGGGTTTAGGGTTTAGGGCTTAGGGCTTAGGGCTTAGGGTTTAGGGTTTAGGGCTTAGGGCTTAGGGCTTATAGGGTTTAGGAAAACCCGAAGTGCCTGCCGATCCTGTGAATGTACGGCCGAGAGCGCCGGAAACCCTAACCCTGAAACCTTAAACCTCAAACAACTTCAAACTCCAAAACCCTAAACTCTGAAGCCTGAACCCTAAACCCTAAACCCTCAACCCTAAACCCTAAACCCTAAACCCTGCAGCAGCGCGTGGCTGCCAAAGTCTCCAGCCTCCGGCAGCTTCATCTGCCAAAGGCGGGGGGCAACATCCTGAGAAAAAAACAGTTTTAGGGTCTAGGGGCTTAGGGTTCTGCGTCACGGGGCCCCCCTAACCCCTAACCCCTAAACCCTAAACCCTAAACCCTAATTGCGGCTTAGGGTCTTGGGCGTAGGGCTTAAGCAGCATCCTAAGGCCAGATTCAGCTTGCTTGCAGTCTTCGGCTTGGAGCTTGAAAGGTCATTTGGGATGTTTTGGGCTTCAGGTTATTTAGGGTTATCAAGGGTTGTTCTAAGGTGTATTTAAGGGTTGTTAAGGGTCCGTTTAGGGTTATTTTAAAGGTTTTTTGGGGGCTATTTTTCGGATATTTAGGGTTCAGGGCTTGCGGTAGGGCTTCAAGTCCTAGGGGGGGCTTCGACCTGCCCGCAGCCCTCTTTTCCCTCGATTTTGGGGGGCGGGCGATTGGGGGGTGGGGGGAGAGCTATCCGAACATGTGGGGTGCCAATGTTTGGAGGTTCATGGGTAGCTAGAATTAGCAGCAGGGTTGCAAGTACCCTAAAGTGGGCTAAGAGCACACCCATGCTTATAATATAACCCTACTTTTAAGTAGCCATAACTTAATCCTCCAAGTATGCATGGTCAAGGCTCTAATATGTG